GGGAGGCATGACCACCGTTGCAATGGAAGGGGTCGTCGAAAAGTTGCGCAAAAAGGGAGGGAGGGGCAGAGAGTATTTGAAGCGGTGTTACGCTACGTTACGCAACATGGTTACGTTATGTTACATGGTTGCGTTACGTAGGGGCAGGGGGTATTCAATTAGTGATGCGAAACGGTGATTTTTTTAAACATTTGTTGCAATACTTCATTTTTTTATTCTTGTACTAAAACATTAAACTATTATCTAATTAGTTTTAAAACATAAATAAGTAAACATTATTAGAACTTATTACAAAATAAATGGAAATCTTTTTTTATCAATTTTGGTACGGTACACCTGTTACACCTGCCTAATTCAAAAAGTACGATATCCTACAATTTACTGTACCAACTTACCAGAATTTGATGTTTTTAGTGGACATCCAAGAATCCAAATCGGTTTGACTATTATAGCACTGACGGAAACGGTTTAAACAGGAAATTCCGGATCAAATTATTCATATAGAGGGCTATAATATGGTTCGTAGAGATTGAACCGGAAGACGCGGTGGAGGAATTCTGATATACGTAGAGCGGGAATTCAATGGAAATCCCCTCATTCAGATATGCGAAGAGATTATCTGGAATCACTATGGCTGCAAATTAGGCTTTATCATTTGAATTTCTATGTCTGTACGTTATATCGACCTCTTTCGCCATCACATAGAATTTCAAATGTAGATACTACCCTTTTTGATATGCTTTGTCAGGCGAACGATTTGGAATACCTTAATATCATCCTTGGAGACTTCAATTTTCCGTTGCTTCTCTGGCCCCAGCCCTGCTTAGATTACATCCCGCTTTTAGAAAGAGAATTTTGTAAGGTATACGACGATTCTTGTTTCTCTCAGCTGATAATTGGTGGAACTAGGTTTCGGAACGGACAGAAATCAACAACGCTCGATCTAATTATCCCAAATGACGAATCACCTTTATCGACTCCAGCCACACGAATGTCTGCCGGTAATAGTGATCACGCCGTTCTGTGCATTGATGGGCAAATCGAATTTCGCGATGCAGATTCCTCGAACCAGGACCGCAAGGTAAACTGTTTGGTAAATTTCGAGGACACGAAGAGGGACCTTCGACAGCCCCTTCTTACCTTAGAACACCCCGATGAACTGGAAAGTAATTGGATGATACTTAGATCAGCAATTATCAACGACCTTAGATGCTCACTCACCTATTCAAAAAGAAGTTCCGAACAAAATAAACCATGGATTACGATAGGGATACAACGACTGGTACGCAAAACGAAAGGACTAAGGAGTAAATTCAAATCCACCAATCACAATACAGGAAATACAAAGCGTTTCGCAACTAAATATCAAATGAGATTTTAGATCAAAAGAGAGAAATTATGAACAAAATATTGCCAAGGGCAAGCTTCTGTACTCGTACATCCGCAAATAGATTTGTTCCAAAGTTTCTATCCCACATACCCTCCGGAAAGAGGATGGGGAAATTACTTCGGATCATAGTGATGTCG